GGGGAATGACTGAAGAATAGGATTAAAAACTCAGAATTCAAATATTTCCAGGCCTGGAAATGGATCTTCCTTTTTTTCCTCAGAATCAGTAAAAAGAGATAAATCTAGAGGTGGTATAAATTACAAAAACAAACAAACAAACAAACCTAGTATTCTCTTTTCCTTCCCTTCTGGATAACAGGCTTAAATGTGACTGTGAATGCTACTTTTATATATTCCGATGGTCTGATTCACAAGTCAGGCGACTGCCGGAGCAGCACCTGCGAAGGCTTGGATCTCCTCAGGGAAATTACAGTAAGTGTTTTCTTCTGTAGATGTAGCTTTCACCCCAACCCCACCCCCACCCCACCCCCACCCCACCCCCTTGGCTTGGGATGGTCACAGTGCGAAACCTGTGCACGTGTCCATGAAGCATCTCCCCATCCTTTGCAGCCAAGCAGTGGACTGCTTTGGAGGCAGGGTTTCTGGCCTATGTCCTATGGATTCTCCAAATGCCCTCCAGGAATCCAGGAATGTGGGGAGAAACATAGCTACGTACTATCTGCACACTTTCAGGAATATAGAGAGGAATTACTTTGTTTTCAACTGATGATAGACTTTTTAAAAAATGTACATGTTGATATGAACCTGGTTTGCCTTTGTTTCCCTCAAGAAATATCTGAGGAGGCATATCTAGAAACACATTATTGGACATAACCTTCCTATGTCCATATGTAAATACGCCACCAGTATTTACATCATGTTCTACATCATGTTCCCACAGGATGGGATCCTAATTAGAATAAGTTACACTCCATGAATATATAATGTGTTAAAATACACAGATAATATGTCTATCTAAAAAGAACAATTTAAAAAAAAACACATTTCCCAGCCCCACATGAGAAATCTGTTTCAAGCCCATTGCCACATATCAGGTCGCAGGCTGGTGGCTTGAGGGTTGAATCTGAAACCTGACTTCAAGTGGTAATGGTAATATCTAAGAATAGAAATGGGAAGGGGAAGGTTCTTGCCCAGTTCCTCCTCCCAATTCCAATCTCAACCCTAACGCGAACTTTAAGGAGCTTATGAATAGCTCAAACTCTTTAGTGACACATAGGTGTTCAAGATGCCCAACTGCTAGAAAGTAGGGAAATGACATTTAAGAACGTGGGGAGTAGAGCCATGACTCTAGAACTTTAATCAGTCACCTCACATTGACCAGAGAGGTGGCACTCGAGTCAGGACGCTTGGCTGGGTCTGTCTTGGGAGGGCGCAAGGTGGCCCAGGGTAGTTTGGTAAACTCTCCTTCACAGTTGCAGAGAAGTATGCGATTCTTCCCTCTTCTCTATGGAGGCATGGTTCTCCAAACCAGGAATGGGATGTTCCCAACCAGGTTCCCTTGGAGAAATAGTAGAAGATAAGTTCGATAATTGCTCAATTGATCACATGGCGTGTGATTCACAGGAGCCCTTCCTTGTAGTTCTTCCTGAAACCAAAACTTGTCCTCTCACTCCCAAATCTTCCGTATCCCCAATCTGTCCTGACAGCCTCTCCTTCATCTCTTCCCGTCCTCCCCCCCTGCCCCAAGAGATCCACCTCACCTTGGTGTAATAACATTCCCCTCTACCCACAGCATCTCCTCTCCCTCATACCTCCCTACCCTTAAGTTGTCCCTGGCCTGGCCCAAGCACAATATGCAACTCCTTTCTGCTGTGCATTCAAACTCTTGACAAACTCTTGTATTTCCTTTTAGTCATTAGTGGTATTGTTGTCTCCTACAGAGGAAAGGTCAGCTGGGCTGTGCTCTCATGGGACCCTCATGCACATACTCCACCTTCCAGATGTAGTAAGTAGTTTGGTTTGCTGTTGCTTTTTTGTTTTTGTTTTTATCATTGTGAACTGAAGTCAGAACATGATATGGCAAATTAAATGATTTAATAACCAATAGTGTAGTCAAGGCAGTACAGCGAAGGGCTTTGGGACCCTAATATTTTGTCACTTCTCTATAATTGCTATTTCCTTCCCCAGATAGCTCTACTTTTGCTCAGTGGGGTGACCACAGTTGCTGTTCAGTTTGAGTCACTAACGTAGGAGCATAAG